TTCTTAAAAAAAAAAAAAAAGAAAAGAAAAGACAATTTCCCAATCAATCCATTGACTGATTCAACAGGCAGACAAAAACCATAAAAAAAAAAAAAATTAAAAAAAAAAATGCTTCTCACAGAAACAAACAAAAATACCCAAATTCAAAACCAAAGCAAACAGCATAGCATGTTAAGGCAGAATAGTTTGGTTCAGACAAACTTTCCTATAGATAAAAACTATAAATACCAAGAAAGAAACTTTTTAAAATTCTGCTTAAAAACCTGAGAAAGTCAAAATATGATTGACTCTACTGAATGGACCATAATCTGTGTTTGTCCTCTAAGGCTTCTCCCCAATCTGACTGAGGTGGGGGACCAGGGAATTCAACAGAAAACTGCAGTTTTATTTGTTGGAGAAGTCAAAGCATGAAATTTGATACTACAGGGTTCCTGACATTTTTAGAAAGTGAGCCATAACAGATATTCAAAAGCTGAACACAAACTTCCCTTCCATTCTTGATTTACAAAGGTACAGGTAAAATGCCAAGAAACCCAGAGGAAAGACAGCTAGAGGCTGATAATTTTAAAAAAAAAAAAAAAAAAAAAAAAAAGATATTTTAGTTTTCTATCTACCATATAGGAGTCAAAATTTGGATTTTGATTCTTGCCTATTTAGGGGACATGGTAATCACATTAGGCTGTCCATTAAAACCCCCAAATAGTCACATCTTAAGAGTAAAGGCTAAATCAAGAGAATCAAGTAATAAGGTAATCCCTGAGATTAAGGGAAAGATGAAAACAGACCCATCCTAACACACAGGAAACCAAGTCTCTTCATATTCCAGGTGATGTGTTGGGAATAGAGTTGCCTACCAAAATAAAGTCCAACATTCTTCCGCAAAGATAACATAACCCAGTCTCTACAGTGCATCATTATATAATCAAAAATCACTAACATGAGAAGAAACAGGAAAATGTGATCAGATTCCAAGAGAAAATATTTAGTCAATAGAAGTATGCCTTCAGAAGCCTCCAATATTGGCTTAAAAGATAGATACTATAAAATAACTACAATTAATATATTTACAGTCTGTAAGATATAGCCCAGAATTGGAAATAGCCAAAGTATCCCGAAATAGGTAAATGATGAAACAATCTGCAGTACATTCATACCATAGAATACTATCTCAATAAAAAGGAATAAATTATTGATGCATGCAACAACTTGGATGGATCTAAGGAGCAATCTTTAAAAAAATTATGTGCCATGTGATTCCATTTATATAATATTCCTGAAATAACCAATCTACAGAGATAAAGAATTAGTTAGTGGTTGCCAGTAGTTAGTGATAGATAGAAAAGGAGTGGATGGGCGTGATTGTGTTATGGTTTGAATGCGAGGTGTCCCCAAAAGTGTCCCTAAAACTTCAAAGGAGAAAGAATTTGGTTGTGAGAGGCTTAACCCAATCAGTTAATTAGTCACTTAACAGGACAACTGGATGGTAATTGAAGGGAGGTAAGATGTGGCTGGAGGAAGTAGGGCATTGGGGGTGTGGCTTTGGGATATATATTTGTATCTGGAAAGTGGAGTGTCTCTCTCTCTCTCTCTCTCTCTCTCTCTCTCTCTCTCTCTCTCTCGCTCTCTTTCCTGATTACCATGTGAGCCACTTCCCTTTGCCACAGTCTTCTGCCCTGATTCAGCCTCACCTGACCCCTGAGGAATGAAGCTTGCTGACTATAGACTGAGACCTCTAAAACTGTGAGCCCCCAAATAAACTTTTCCCCTGCTGCAGTTGTTCTGGTTGGGTTTTTAAGTCACAGCAGCAAAAAAAAAAAAAAAATCTGACTAAAACAGACAGTATGAAAGAGTTCTTTGCTATAGTGGAATAATTCTCTATCTTGATTACAGTGGTGGTTACACAAATCTATGCATGAAATAAAATTTCATAGAACTATTCACATTTTATATCAATGACAGTTTCTTGGTTTTTATAGAATTATTGTACAATAGTTGTATCAAATATCATCTCTGGGAAAAACTGAGTTAACACAGGACTTTCCCATGCTATCTTTGCAAACTTCTAAAAACAATTTCAATATAAAAGTTTAAAATAAAATCAGTAGGAAAATATTACTATCATGTATAAAAGATGAGGGGCTTTAGAAAATGTTTGAAACTATGAAAAAGAACCAAAAAAAACCACAGAATTGAAAATGTCCTTAAATGGATTAATACCACACTATATACAACAGAAGAAAAGATTTGCAAAATTGAAATTTTGTGAATTTGTTGTACTAGTCTTATGAATTCTGCTATTTTGGAGATGGCTTAACTGACAGCCCTACTCTCCATTTGTATTTGGTACCCCTGTTCATTGTTTCCATGGGATCCTTTGTATAGTAGGACTTTCAAAATAGTGGATGTATGTTTGTGTAATTATCTTCACATCCACCTCTCTTATTAAACTGGATATGCACCAGGGCCCTTGTCTACTATGCTTACTGTTCTTTTCTTAGTGGCTAGAACAGGGCAGATACCAAAGAAGTACCTGTCAAAAGAATGAATAAATGAAAGGCCTCCTCCACAGAAGATTAGATTTTAGAGATGGCACAAGGTAATGAGTGTTACATCATAATGTTTTATAAAATTATTGTATGTTCATAATGAGAAAAGGAGATTAGAGTTCACTTCAACTTCTGCCCCAAAGTATCTTACTGCACCTGTCACTTTGATTTTCAATTTTTTAAGCATGCTTTATATCAACCTCTGCTACTCTTTCAGAATCAGAACTGTATAATATTACATATAATAGTCAGCGGAGTGTTGTGGCTAAGGCTTTATTAGATTCTCCATATTTACATAGACTAATAATAGATTGTTACTGTTCCATTCAACTTGTAACCATCCCTGCAGCTACTTAGGTTTGTCAGATCCTGACTTCTTTATCTTTTTCTAAAACCAGGGGCTCAGAGGGACAGTATGTCTATAACAAACTTCTGTTCGGTATCTTATCTTCAACAGTCAAATTAACAATGCAAACTGTGTGGCATTTAAAAATGCCATCCTATGGTTAAACATGAACCCAAAAGATATTAGATTTTTTTCCCCTTTCATATAAGGGTTGGATGATCCTCCTCTTTCCTTTTACATGCTTCTAAAACGTTCAATTTAAATGACATATGTGTTTCGGTCCCAGACAGTTTTAATTTGAGAGTTCCCTCACACCTGCCTTGGTATCCTGGAGCTTGGAGTGGCATTGTTCATTATTACACATTACTTTTGATAGCCTCAGCTGGGCATCAGGTCAGGGGTGTCTGCACTAAAGCTTCAGAAGTACAGACTTGTATTGATTTATATCTCCACCAGCTGC